AGTGCCCACGGTATCTTTTGCCCAAATTGGAATGGATCTCCTTGGACCATATCCGACTTCCCATGCTGGCAACAAGTGGGTAATAGTCGCCACTGATTATCTTACGCGCTACGCGGAAACAAAGGCTTTGTCAAGTGGCACCGCCGTTGAAACCGCACGATTCTTCGTAGAAAATATCGTCCTGAGGCACGGTGCTCCAACAATCATAATAACGGACCGAGGTGCCGCTTTCACAGCCGCGCTCCTTAAGACAGTGCTTGAGCTCAGGGAACAGCCCATCGGAAAACCACTTCCTATCATCCACAAACCAACGGCTTAACAGAAGGCCTCAACAAGACTATTGCCAACATGTTGAGTATGTACCTTGACGTGGATCACAAGAACTGGGACGACATTCTACCGTACATCACGTTTGCCTATAATACAGCGCAGCAAGAAGCTACACGAAGAACGCCGTTCAGTCTCCTTTATGGCCGCGAAGTGACGACGATGCTTGACGCCATGTTACTGCACGACTGCAATGACATCGACTTGGACGCTGCATCTTTTACCCAACGAGCAGAAGAAGCGAGGCAGCTTGCACGCGTCCGAATCACCCAGCAGCAAAATTACGACGCCCAACGTTATAATCTGCGACACCGACATGTCGTCTATCAGCCCGGCGACAAAGTCTGGGTATGGAGTCCTATCCGCCGCCGGGGACTGTCTGAAAAATTGCTAAAGAAGTATTTTGGCCCCTACACAGTTTTACAACCCCTGAGCGATGTTAACTACGTGGTCGTTCCTGACAGCCCTTCGACAACTCGCCAGCAAAAAACAGAAATTGTGCACGTTGTGCGAATGAAGCCCTATTTTTCGGACTGATTTACATCATACATCTACTACACCGTCTTTTGTAGAAGAGCATCGGGACACTGCTCTCTGGAGGGGCGCAAATGCCGCATTGAATATGCAGCACCAAGAAAACAACGAAGTACACGCGCAGCGGGAGAAAGAAGAAGAGCTTTTCTTCCGATCAGTTTGCCAATGTTCTGGTACAATTAAAGTGAGTTTTCTGTATTTAACTGCTGCTGTTTCTGCATTGTGACAATATTAGCCAGTTTGAAGATTGTTTCTCTTCGACGTCCAGGGTCCATCAAACGCCACTGACGAAACATCAAATTATAACGAACGAGATGACCAGACCCATCTGGTAAAACCCGTACCGGGTAGCTCTACGGGAACGTGAAGCCATTGGGCGAAGCCCAATGGCTTCACGTTCCTTGGGTTTCGCCGGTTAAATTAGTGAAGAAAAAAGATGGCACCTTTCGTTTCTGCGTGGATTACCGCAAGCTGAATCAGGTGACAAAAAAAGACGTCTTCTCACTTCCACGTATCGACGATTCACTTGATTTACTATGGCATGCGCGTTATTTCTCGTCGATGGATCTAAGGAGTGGGTATTGGCAGATAGAAGTCGATGAAAGAGACCGGGGGAAAACAGCTTTTGTGACACCTGATGACCTTTTTGAATTTAAGGTACTTCCATTTGACTTGTGCTCAGCACCGGCAACGTTTCAGTGGCTAATGGACATCGTACTATCAGGCCTCAAGTAGCAGACGTGCTTAGTGTATTTAGATGATGTCATCGTATTTTTTGTCACATTTGACGAACATGTCAGGCGACTGCAATCAGTATTTCAAGCTATCCGTTCCGCCGGACTAACACTTAAGCCAGACAAATGCCACTTCGGCTTCGAAGAGCTTCTGTTCTTGGAGCATCTTGTCAGCAGTGAAGGTGTGCAGCCTGACCCTGAAAAAATAGCTGCCGTTACGAATCTTCCAGCGCCAACTGACAAAAAGGTGGTCAGACAGTTTTTAAAACTGTGTGCGTACTACCGACGCTTCATTGAGACCTTCTCGCACATTGCCTCGCCGTTGACCCGCCTTACCAGAGAAGACGTCGCATTCGTATGAAATGAAGAACAGCAAAGATCATTCGATGAGCTGCAGCAATGCCTTGAGAAGCCACCAGTCCTCGCACACTTTGATGATGACGCCCCGGCAAGAGTACACACCGACGCTAGCAATGTCGGCTTAGAAGCTGTACTCATGCAGCGGCAGGATGGCGCCAAACGAGTAATTGCTTACGCGAGCAGAACTCTTTCCCGTGCGGAAAACAATTATTCAACCACAAAAAAAAAGAGTGCCTTGCGGTTGTGTGGGCAGTTACAAAATTCCGCCCATATCTGTATGATCGTCCTTTAAATGTCAGCGACAATCACTCCTGCTGGCTGACGAATTTAAAAGACCCTTTAGGATGGTTGGCGCGCTGGAGCCTGAAGCTTCAAGAATTTAAGATGACAGTGATCTGGTGGTCTACAGATCGGGGAAGCGACATTCAGATGCCGATTGCTCTTATCGTGCGCCATACGAACCTGCAACGGCAGAAGATGAGGATACAGCCTCTGTCCGAGTTGTAAACACTGCTATTGTCGCACAGCTGCAACGAGACGACCCGTATCTAGAACTCATAATTCGTTTTTTGAAGGGTCGCACTTCAGCTGTACCTAGACTACTTGCGAAAGGGTTTCTGTCATTTTGCTCGCGCAACAACATCCCGTACAAGATGAACTTCACGCCACACGGAAACGACTGCTTACTCATCGTCCCAACATCTCTAAGGAGGGAAGTATTACAGGCATGCCACAATGAACAAACATCTCGCCACTTAAGTTACACGCGTGCACTGTGCAGAATGACGCAGAAATACTACTGGCCAAGACTGACGGCGACCATTTAACACTATGTTCAGACGTGCCTTGATTGCCAGCCCAAAAAAGTCCCACCCGTCAAGCCAGCAGACCTCCTCCATTCTATTGACGTGCCTGTTACTCCATTCCCTCAAGTCGGAATGGATCTTTTGGGCCCATTTCCAACCTCATCGACAGGTCGCAGATGGATTATAGTATCCACCGACTACCTCACTCAATAAGCCGAAACCAAGGCTCTGGAGAAAGGCATGGCAAGTGAAGCAGCCCGATTTTTCGTAGAGAATATGGTGCTGAGGCATGGCACTCCGTCAGTGGTAATAACAGACAGGGGAACTGCATTCGCAGTCGAACTATAGACATAGTGGCACATCCCACCGGCAAACAACGACGTAATATCCGCAAGAGAATGGTTTTACGGAGCATCTCAACAAGACACTTGCGGATATGCTCTGTATGTATGTCAATGTGGAGCATAAAAAGTGGGACGAGATCTTGCCATATGTCACGTTTGCCTATAACACGGCTCATCAAGAAACAACAAGAAGAACACCATTCCACCTTCTTCATGGTCGTGAAGTCACCACTATGCTGGATGCTATGCTGCGGCACGAGTGCGAAGATACCTAAACGATGCTGATTATATCACGCAGCTTGCTGAAGAAGCCCGACAACTTGCACGCCTACGTATTAATCGCCAGCAGGACTACGATTCAAGACGGTACAACCTTTGTCACCGACCAGCCTCATAGGAGCCAGAAGAGAAAGTTTGGATATGGACTCCTATTCGGCACCGTGGCCTCTCAGAAAAACTGTTAAGACGGTACTTTAGGCCCTATAAAGTTCTACGATGTCTCAGTTGCATTAATTATGAAGTTGTTTCTGATACTGCGCACCCCTTAAGGTCTCGAAGGTATGCTCCAGAAGTTTTTTACGTGGTTCGGATGAAGCCTTATTTCTCCTAATGAACTCATGCGTTTCAAATGAGTACAAACCACTTTGATTATAAAGCATCTAGACGATGCTTTCTTGAATGGGAGGCTAATGTCACGGCTAAAGGCCGGGCAAGCAGGCAGAGGACGACGAAGTGATGAGCGTGGACAGCAACCCCGGTTCCTTCGAAGAAGACGACGTCGAAGCGTCTGCTCTTTTGATCTATTAATACAGACCTTGTTTTTTCTGGTCGCACTGTCGTTCTGTATCCTGTTATTTTCACGTCGCAACAATATATGCTTTTCGAATTCAATTCACAATTATTCGACCAAAATCGCTATTTGCTTCGAACCTGAAATTCCCTATTTGCACAAGCCTATACCTGACAAAAAACCGACAATTGGGGGACCCTTAAGCGTCACCTGTAAGAGTTGAACGCGATTGCATACTTCCAACACTTGGTGTATGATTTTCTTTCGATTTTGTTATGCACCCGCTACGTGGCCTTATGGGTGCAGTAGGGTGTGTGCCTTTTGTAGTGGGTGACTGGATTTATACTATGAAGTCAATATAATAATCCCATATTATGATGCTTGATGGCAATGTATGCTTGTACCACGCATTATTATGACAATATTTCATGTTCTATTGTGAAGCATGTATACAGGATGTGTTTGTTCGTAAAGCTGAGAAGTTACTTTCACTGCATTTCCAAGCAGAGGAAGTTATTTTCACCGCATTCACAAGCAGAGGCAAAGCCATGTGGTGGAACACTCGTTCGCGACGCAAACATCTAGGTTCGGTCCCCACTCAGACCCAGAATTTTTATTTTGTTTACATCTTTCTCAATTTTTCGGTCCCACAAAGGCGGTCGATTTTCTCCTTCCAACCAACGATGCGGGCGCCAGATTTTCCGCAAAACGAGCTCTTTAATGCTATCACGGTAAAATGCGCATCAACTTTATCTCGAAAGATTGCTGATTAGTTATACTATGTCTGCAGCCCTATTCAACCTGTTTTTAGCTCTGCTTGTCACTGGGAAAAGCATGCCATGCGTAGAGTATATAAAACAGCAACGAGAGCTTTACAACCATCTTATGAAGTCAACTCCGCCACGTGCAAACTTGGTATGCACTGAAACATACAAAAAATTGCAAGGGGCCACTGTCACTGGGCGTAGTATGGCTTCAAAAAACACTCCCGCACCCCACCCTCTTTCCCCCTAAGTGAGAGCTTAGTGGACCACCGAAAATAGCTTCATGGACCCCCTGAGGCCCACAGACTCCCACATAAAAACCACTGGTCTAGGCTACTTACATGGTGCAGATGTCTGGGTGAAAGCAGGAAAGGATAATGTACCGCTTCCCACTGTAGTCGAGCAACGTACGCAGAATTATGTCCACATACAGGTTGATGTCAAGGTTTAGATCCATTTCCCATGTGCCATCCTGCAGATTGAGACGGCAGTAAAATGACGAACAGCCCCATTCTTGTAAGTGCAAGCTCTAGACCTCAAGTCTTAGTAAGAGGGCTCCAATACAAACCATCATAAAAATAACACTGCCTGCCCATCTGCTTTTAATACTTTACACTCCTTTCTCATAACATGAGAAAAATCTTCACATAAACAAAGAAATTTTCTACTTTCCTCGATTACTCACTTGAATTTCGATTATGGACAGACTGAAAAAATAAAAACACATGCTTCATTCATTGTTCTTAATGAACATATTAAGTACAGTATAGACCGCTTATAACGCAAGTCACAAGAGTCGTGATTATCTGCACTATAAGCGGTAGTACACTATAACCAAAACAACAGTTTTCAAGTGCACTTACGTAAAACGTGTTGAGCATGCAGCTCGCACGCCCGACAATCAAAACATGCAATGCGTGCTTGCTAACGTGTAAATTTCTGAATGCTAAAAGAATTCAACGTCCAAATACACGCGTGGCCAATGAAATGAACGCGAAAAGGGGGTGGGGTGTATAACAAATGAAAGCACCATCGCGGAAATTCATCTGATTACCAGACCGCCTCGATGGTGCGCATTACACAGAATTTATGTCAAATCACATCCAGAATTTGATGCATTGAAAGACGCCATTTATTCGATTTCACGGGCATGCACTTTATTTAAGACATCAAAATCGAATCGCAAACCAATATTTGAGCGCTACACGTGCCGCCCTTGTTTTCATTTAACAATATGTATCCCTTCCCGTCAAGTGCAGCCACCGCAAAGTATTTATTTGATTCCATACCGCAACGATTTGGTACCAAACCTCAACGCGACCGCTACCGTTCGAAGCGCAACCAATGCCGATTAGGCCTAGCTTGCCTTTTGGTATGTTGTCAAGGAAACCTTGTCTAAAACATTAGAATTCGGCGTCAAAAAGATCACACTAGTAGTGAACCAAGAACCGCGTGTGTGGTACGAAGTTCGCGCTAGCGGCCCAGGAGATCAGCAACGACTGTCGACAACTCGCCAAGCTTGCGAACAACAGAGCACTGGCAGCAAAAGCTTGCGTACAACAGAGCACTGGCAGCAAAAGTGAAAGCTCGCGCCATAAAACAGAAATAGGTTTCCAATATACGGACAAGGAAGCAAACGTGATATTTGTTGCAAGCGCGATAACGACGACGTCTTTCCCGACTGGAAACTTCAGCGCATGTAGTTGATAAAGACAAGATCACACGTGCCATGTTGACCGACGCGCGGCCAAAGCCATGCTAGCGACGTAGTACGCTCTAGCCGTGTCGGCGCCAGTGCAAAGGCTTAGCGGTCACCGGTGCAACCATCCTCCTTCCTTGCTCAGCGAGCCCGCGCAGTGCCCGCGGTCTTTTTTGTTTTCTTTTTCTTTTCTCCACCCTTCGTTTGTTCACTCCAAGTCCCCTCCTCTTCCGTAACGACCTCGTCGTTCACTCCCCAGCGGCGCACCCAGCGCTGCTCGCTACCGCGTTTGTCACAAACAATTTCCGGCAACCACATTATAACCGGTCTTTCATCCTGGGGAACTGCACAATAAGCGGTATGCGCATACATGGGATTCTATGGGAGGGTTAACGGGAGTAGAAAAAGACCGCATTGTAAGTGGTTCTACACTATAAGTGGTTACGTTATAAGTGGCGTACACTGTATTAAGTTATTTCAAGATACTTTAAAAGAAATGAAAATTCCTCAGTGGTACAAAAGATGCTCATTAATTAAATGCCCATTAATATACTTAATTGCCTAACGTGGTCGTGTTCCCTGATTCGAGCAAGCACATATACTGTTTAATGGCATCTAACTCCCATTTTCACGGTCATATTTGGCCACAACTCAGTTGATTCGGATAATCTACGCAGCATGCCAGCATGACGCACAACAAATGTGTGATGCAAATGAGAGAAAAAGACACTAATGAACAAGTGAAATGGCAGCAGGCCTTCAAAAAATCATGGTTGCCTTCCACAATCTCACCAAAATCGCATTGATGAAAACAAAGGCTTCAGCGGCTGTTGGTGAATTTGTTCCGTTTTCGATTTTACTCGACACACACAGACTGCATCAACACTATCTACGATTGTGTCTATAGCGACAGGGGTCAAAGCTGCACAAAGCAGTAGTTTGATTTTTCCCACGTGCCTTCAGAACTGTGTAGTCGCCATCCATGATTGTGCATTCAGGCCAAATCGTATGCATGCATTTTTTGAGCGACAGCGACAAACTTGCCGTGTCGCGCCATCGCGTTGGGACAGCTGCAACCACATGTTGATGACATAGGGTCATAGTTGTTAGATAGAAAGCTATCGTGAGCATCCCTACAAATTGAAAAAAGATGTTTAAGAGTAAGTAGATGACAACATGCCGAATTTTTTTACTGTCTTGTGTGCCATAAACAAGCCACAAAAGCATTTGACGACCTTTTTTTTCACAATCTTTCGTTTAACCGCAATAGGGTGCCCAGAAGCGTACACTACAGTGGCTAGGACGCACTTCGCATGACGATTTTGTATTTCAGCAAGATACCATAATTGTTGCAAGCTACCATTAAAACATCAAAACAAACCTTCAATAACAAGATTTAGGACAAAATAAAGCCGCTGTCTAACTTTTCCTGCGAGATGCAAATGTAGAGATGGTGGTCGATACCTTGCATTCCTTGAAGTACGTCCAGATAATACGCATCGGGAGAAAATTTCAACTAAAGCAAGAGTTAGGAGTGCAACCATGTTGCCGGAAATAGTCATGCTCATTTACAGACGATGAGCGATGTTTTCTATTTTTCCAAAAGTGCACGACACGACACAGGACGGCAACAGATGAGTTTTTGTGATCGCAAATCCTGTCCCTCGTCGCTGTCGCTCATAAATCACATGGATGAAATTGCCCCGCCGCGGTGGTCTAGTGGCTAAGGTACTCGGCTGCTGACCCGCAGGTCGTGGGATCGAATCCCGGCTGCGGCAGCTGCATTTCCGATGGAGGTGGAAATGTTGTAGGCCCATGTGCTCCGATTTGGGTGCACGTTAAAAAACCCCAGGTGGTCGAAATTTCTGGAGCCCTCGACTATGGCGTCTCTCATAATCATATGATGGTTTTGGGACGTTAAACCTCACATATCAATCACATGGATGAGGTTGTTCCCTAGGAAGCCAGGTTTATTCAGCAGCAGATGCGGTGTTCAGCCATTTACTTTATACTCTTAACATAGGTTGCAGGCGTGCCTTCAGAACTGAGTGGATATTATGATCACGTTTTTACTGACCACAGTTCTATTTACAGTGGATGCACTCAGTAGCTTCGTTTTGTCATTGCGAAATGAACACGCAATGTCACAAAACTGAAACATGGCAGAAGCTGTTGAAGATCAAGGGCTTCAGCCACGTTCTGCATGCTACTATACAACTCTCTACTTGGAATGAATAGATGATTAGTTGGCAGCCATTTATCCAACAAAAAAATAATTGTCATGTGCTGTGTTGGTGGTGGCGGTACGCATTAAAAAATAGGTATAGAGCACAGTTTGAAATAAGAGACTGGAGTCTTGAGTTGTCGTTATATTTGTGAGCAAAGTCATGAATGACAAAAATCGCAGGTTCTATACTGTTCATGTGCAAAATGAGTACTGGATTTATGCATTCATTAAGAAAATGAAAACGGTAACGCAGGACACAATTTATAACTGCGTACCCCACACCTGGCAAAATTTACGAATTGATCACCTTCACTTAAGGGGGGACATCATCATCATCACCATCAGCCTGACTACGTCCACTGCAGGACAAAGGCCTCCCCCATGTCCGGCCAGTTAACCCGGTCCTGTGCTTGCTGCTGCCAATTTATACCCGCAAACTTCTTAATCTCATCTGCCCACCTAACCTTCTGTCTCCCCCTAACCCGCTTCCCTTCTCTGGGAATCCAGTTAGTTACCCTTAATGACTAGCAGTTATCCTGTCTACGCGCTACATGCCCGGCCCATGTCCATTTCCTCTTCTTTATTTCAACTATGATATCCTTAACCCCCGTTTGTTCCCTAATCCACTCTGCTCTCTTCTTGTCTCTTAAGGTTACACCTACCATTTTTCTTTCCATTGCTCGCTGCGTCGTCCTCAATTTAAGCTGAACTCTCTTTGTAAGTCTCCAGGTTTCTGCTGCGTAGCTAAGTACCGGCAAGATACAGCTGTTATATACCTTTCTCTTGAGGGATTGTGGCAATCTACTTGTCATAATTTGAGAGTGCTTGCCGAATGTGCTCCACCCCATTCTTATTCTTCTAGTTACTTCAGGGGGGACGCGGGTCTTAAAAGGCCAAAAATTGTGAAAAAACCGACTTTTCGAAGTTGACATTTTCCGAATCTGCGACTATTTTTTCACTTATTTGAGAAGTTTCAAGCTTCTCGCGTCATTATTTCGTCCACAAAATCAATTTATAACACCCCTGTGAGATGAATCTAAGCACATATCAACGCTAAAGTCGCGCTTTTTCCACGCCAAACCGTTTCTGTTACACACGAGCTATCGTGGTCATCTTGGTCTCGTTTGGAAGGGTCATTCTTCACCTTCAATTTTCCGCCACGAGAGGCTCGCCTTGCTCATTGGTTTTCCAGCAAAAACGCGTTATCGAGAAGCACCACCATGCAATTCTATTGGCTGTTTGGGGCATGTGACAAAACCTAGGCATCCCATTAGAAAGTGCCGTTTCCGGCGTCTGCTTCTTCATCGTGACGCGCACGGACATGAGCCATTTTGTCATGGTGCTGTCGACTGCCTGCCGTAGTAAAAAAGTTCCTCACCTCACTAATTTGTGAAGCGGGTGTGGCGATCGTTCGCTCGCTGTGAACTTCAGAAAGAGCCCCGCTATCACTCAGGACAGGGAGGATAGCAAACTCGCGTCGTTCAACAGTGGTCGCCGAGTCACCGGTCTAGGCCTAACTCAAGTACGAGCCCGTCAGTTGCCGACAACGTCGCTGAAAGCGGCAATGTTTTGGAGCTTCATCAGTTACAGGACGGCAAGTAAAAAAGCAGAAGTGAAGCTACGAGAGATAGCAATCTTTACAACAGTGGAATGGAAGCGCAATCTTATCGCTAAAGCGCGGACGCTGCGGGTTTCCCCCCCCGCCTGGCGCGAACTGCGTGACGGGTCGTCGGAGTGGAGTTCGCCGCGCGACGGCGAACAACAGAGAATCAATTCGTTTACGATGAACTTGCTCGCCGCCAGCACAATGAAGGCTACTGGCAACAGCTAAAGTGCTTGTAACAACGCGTCCGCACCGATGAACATATTGCGCCGTGGCCTCCACATGAAAATGTGGCAATCTTGCGTGAAAAGAAAACTAACACCTCGCTGCTCTTGGAGCCTTAAAATTGATGACCGAGTGCACGAATTCGGTCTGTGACATCAACAACTCAATCTGAACAAGCCGGAAAACCGCTTTACTATATGATGGATTGCGGATTACACACGCACATTCGTCGCACATAGGCGACACCGAACTGATAAGCGGCCTAGTCGGCAGACGAGCACACGGTGACCGCATTAGCTCGCAAGTGTGCCTTTGCCGAAAACATGCAGCGGCCATTGAAAAAACGGCATTTAGGTGATGCAAAGCAGAAGGACTACATGCCTGGTGCCTACCGAGAAAGCTGAATTAGCAAATCATTGTAAATAAACAGTTTTTCCATGCTACTGTCTGCCCAAAATGGACTTCTTGTGTTTTTGCATGATTTCATATTTCATCAGCTCGCAAGTGTGCCTTTGCCGAAAACATGCAGCGGCCATTGAAAAAACGCCATTTAGGTGACGCAAAGCAGAAGGACTACATGCCTGGTGCCTACTGAGAAAGCTGAATTAGCAAATCATTGTAAATAAACAGTTTTTCCATGCTACTGTCTGCCCAAAATAAACTTCTTGTGTTTTTGCACGATTTCTGAGGATTCAAACTTTGCTGCAGTTGCAAACTTGTCTAAAAGATATCTCTGCCTTAAAGCAGCTAGAAATGCCATTCTTGTTGTGACATGTAGCTGTATCTTTGGTTTACACAATGGTATGTGTGAATTTTCGATTGAAATCTTTAAAGAATTTAATTTTTTGCCAGAAATTGGAGCATAAAGTGGGTGGGTCTGCACCACTGAATTGCAAGGTGCGACAAACCTTGCTAAAATCAAATCTAAAAAAGCACTCTTACCATTGTGTAGCTTATGTTTATTAGTACACAGGCATGTGCCAATAGTAGCTCTGCAATACAAATTTCTTGTGTCACTATACGAACAAACAATACGTAATTAATTTTAGAATATCTCAAAAACTAATTGGTTTAGAGGAACAGTAATTACATTTTTGAAACAAGCAAAAACTCAATCACACTGTGAATTTTCTTTACGAACACATGAAAATATCTGGGATTTCGTCCCAAGTACAGTGTCCGCCCTTAATTCACTTGCCTTGAGCTTCCCTGCTAAGGTAGAACAAAAGAAAGGAACGGGGGAGACAGAATTTAACGAACTTAAATACACATCTAGATCAGACTCTGCCAATAAAACAGCTGGAGTTTTTATCTTACACAGGATATTTCTCATGGCTACAGCAGTGCTACCCTAGGAAGTGACAAATCGTACAGAATTGATCTCTAACTTTTGTGGCCATCTGTTTTTTGCAGGCTTAAATGCATTTAATTAAGGTGGTAAAAGTAGAGCAACCAAGATGTGTTGTGCCATCAAAGATTTCAGAGTTGCGCATTGAAGTCACACATCCACAGATGCACAAAGGCACATAATCAAGATTGAGGATTTTTTCCTTTTTAATGTTATGAGACACAAAACATCATTTCTTTTTATACATTTTCAACTATTGTACATGCCAAAGTTCTTTAGCATAAAGAATTCCATTAAAGGGGCCCTGCAACACTTCTCAAGCACATAAACATCAAATGGCTTCATTAAAAGAGTTCATTGCCCTTCGAATCGCCTGCTGCAAAAATTTTAAGAATCAGTCAATTTACAGGGATTGGCTACATGCTTTAGGCATTTCCTTGCTTTTATTTTTTGTACCAGCAAGTGCACTGAAAACTACTAGAGGGGAAATAACAAGAGTGCAAGAACATGCATTCGTTCATCAGCACATGTCATGACCTTGAGCACTTCTTTTGAATGCACAACTTTTAATGTGATCGCAAACGTGCACGCGGCCATCTGGCCATGGGTGCAGCTAATATGCAGTTATCGATGCTCAAATCAACCAGTGGCCCTGGGCCACTGGTTGATTCACTGCTAGTTTAATCTAGCAGTAATTTAGATATATGGCATCATTTGTAGAGAGAAGAGGAAATGATTTCTTGCTGACTTTGAGAATTAATCGTAAATTCCAGGCAGTCTGCTGAGCTATAATATTTGACACACACATTCTTGGGTTCCTCAACTACTGATTGGCAGTGCTTTATGACCATGCTGAAAAAGCTTTGCAGGACCCCTTTAATGAATTTTAAAGCTATATTTTGAACTGGCAGGCGATTGTTTCTCATTGGTATCGACTGCTTGGATGAACTTCACAAGAGATGGTCATTGCATGGTAAAACCGTTATCAAAGCACATTCAAAGCCTGAATTATACAAGAACTACGCACACTACAGGTCTTGCTATTCAATTGTACAGCATTTTTAAGCTGTAAGGAAAGTCTGACTACTAAATGTGCTAGCTTCCACACTGGCTCATTGGGCTGCCTCATTAAGGTGTGGTATGGTCACATTAGACACTCGAACCAGGCCAACAATTTTTTTTCATAGCTTTTTTGAGAACCTAAGGAGCCAAATGCAGACTGTCGCTATCTAATCAGAGGCAAGTACGTAATCTGTCAAGCAGCTAAAATCCAGCCAGTCTTAACACACAGACCGACCAACCTACCGACCTAACCTCTTCAACATTATGCCACTTGACGCAAGCTTCCCTTCTCAGCCATACACACAGGCAAACCATAAAACACGCTACTAGAAACTCACACGAAACTGCATAGGGCACTTTATCTCGACATTGAAGCCAACCGAGGGGTCGACTGCTTCAAGCACATGCTGCAACGTTGGGAATGGCTGGTTGTCCTCGAGGTCATCCTCCCGAAAGTCGTAGTGGTGGCTGTCATGTACCGAAGGTGACAGCTTGAGCCGCTGCAGCTGCGCTACCGTCAAGTCCTTCACTGCCAGTTGAAGCTTTTCTTCCTCTTGCAGCGGTGACTTTCGCTGCAAAGTTTGCATGCATGGCCCTAGTTATGATACTTATTACATGGATCTTTTTGCTTAACAAGCAGTGCCATGGACCAAATAATTCAAAACGCTCTTCTGAAAATCTCCCTACAAGCGTAGCACCGACAATATGCCCATTAGATTAGCAACTAAAAAGCTCTTAACAAAAACGAAAATATACTGGAGGCTTGTTCTTTTTAACAGTGGTGGGCGAAAGAAATGAAGCAGAAAAGGAAGAATACTAAACACTGCGCACCTCATTTTTTCGCGCACCACTGTTAACTCTTTCGCTATCACACCTACTCAAATCGATCACCGGTGATCGACGCTTTTCAGTCATAGATTTTGGCATGCTAAATTTATTTCTAAATTCTACAAAACAATATTTCCCAAAGTCCACGGCATGTATAAAGTGTGCAGGAGGCTCTCACAGGCAGTTTCCAGCCCCTTTGGTTTTGCTTGTATCGTTATATCAGACACAGGGTCACATCTAGTGTCACTAGTTGCTCCTTTACACGATCATCACGTGCGCATGGGTGTGTATCAGCGCTGCAAGACACATGCGCTGCTTGAAACTGTCTTGCGACGCCACCTGAATTTAGTGAGAACGAGCCGAGATTTCGTGGATGACAGAACCTCAGCTTCAAGTTTTACACAGACGATGTTTTGCGTCAGCCTGAGACATGCGTAGCCGTTCATGGGTTTGTCTTGTTTCATCCTCAAGTTATCTCCTCCACCGCAAGTGCATATAGCTTCCGACTTTCGTGCATAATCTTATAGTTACTCAGGCTACGTGCGTGGTCCACACTTCGCTAGGGCACGGTGTAGTGGCGCTGGCTGCAGAGCTTCTTTCTAACGGCAAGAAAGCCCCCGGAACACATCTTGGCTCTGACTACAGAGCAGTGCGAAACATTCTAGAAGTGCGCGCGATATTGTCCTTTTTTTTTATTACAATATGCACAAAGATGCAAAGGAATATGCTTGGATGCATATATTGGAATGGCAACCTATGCAGAGTGAGGTGGCTCATGGAAAGAGGAGATGCTAAATGAAATAGCAAAGTTCATTAGACATCTCATTTGTAGAGAGATTATTCACATCACGGGTTTACATCTATATTGTAATACCTAGATACTCGTATCGCAAGGCAATGAGAATTTACTGAGTAGAGTGTACGAGTACACTTGTGTCTCACAAAAAAACCATGCAATGCTTCACCGCATGGCATGAGCAATTAAGCAGCGCCTCGGTTCCGATTTTCTTTGTCTATGTGAAGAGAAACATTTCGTACAACATTACTTTTATACTGTTCCTGGGTCATTTATCTATAAAATGTATATTCTGAATTTTCTTTGTTTGAAATATGTTTGCATATATAGTCTTTTTTATTCAACTGTTTACCAGCTGGTGACGAAAAATTTGCCACTTTTCACATTTTCATTCATTTTAAAATAAGTCTGTTGCTCTACAACCTATATTTTTCGGAAAGATCATTTCATTCTGCAAAGTTTGGTATGCTGCAATGCGTGCTGGAGTACTTTTCAAACTGGCACAAACGATCTTCCCAAGACATATGAAAAACAACCATTCTCGCACAGTACGGAAGAGTTAAGATGAGTTAGCAATTCGCCCAGCAGTCCATGCTTCTTAACGCTTCTACAGAAGATATGCAACATGATACGGCTCGCTTCACCTGTGAAAAAAACTTCAATCACCTTTTTCACTTCTGCTACGCAAGCTGCAACACCCGACATTTTTGGCTGTGATGATTTCTGGAAACATGCACAATAACTACAGAGCAGGTCGATGGTCACGTCACAAAACATTAGCTGAATATACTTATACCCGAAGCTGTCATACAAGAACCATGATTTCCAGGTGTCAGTTGCAGACTGATTACCAACAAGGCAACCTATTCAAAACAGTAGTCGTCTTGGCCCACGCACCTTTTTCATGCAGATGCATATGTGGTAATCGTGATAGATGACTGGGACCTTGTCCTTCGAGAGCTGCACATCCAGCTCTACCATGTCAGCACCCTAAAATATGCACAATGAGCAGATACAGTGGGTTTAAGTAGATACCAGAGTTGAGCCCACAAAGACGCTAAAAAGAACACAGGCACTTTTTCGCATCTTTTTCAAGTGCACGAGTAAGAATAAACTAGGAGTTCTGGGAGTGCTTTATATATTGCACTGAGATTACAGCTTTTGTAGCATCACAGAATGCACAAGTACCACATGTAGTAGGCAATCCAGGCAAGACAAAATATTGAAGGGAGATAGAGGCTTAAAATGATAAAAAAAATTGCGAAGCAAGAATTTCAGTGAAGCCAACATTTGGGCAAGTGGACTTGCCTTTATCATGATAGGAAATAAAGACAAGTCTTGTTAAAACATTGGACTATGCGACAATGCCTGCTCGAAGATTTTTTGCAAAGTTGTAAACAAAGCATTCAAAGGACACTTCAGCCACTAATTGACTGAATGGCTGTTTATCACTTAAAGGGGCCTTGCAACACTTTTCTAGAAGCCATGGAATAGATTCACTAAAGGAGCTTACTGGCTCATAAAGTCACCACCACGAAAATTTTCAGAATTCATCCAGTAGAAGTGGAGTTCCAGAAATTTGTCGCACGCTGCTAATGCATTTTCTCTTCTCTTCCCGACAAAAGTGTTAGAAGCCAAGCAGGGAGGGATGGCACGAGGAAAAAATACATCATGCACGCCTCGTTACCTAGAGAACTTTTTCCCTTTTTCTTTTTCTTCAATTAAGGGACTTTTCAGTGCGGTCACGCGCGCACGCGTGGACAAATCGCGGCCTTCCACGGCTACGCCAGTAACGACTGAGCGCACCATGCTCAAATCGACCAATGGCTAATACAATGACTGATGAGCAATTTTTTAGCTTTATTGCCATTTGTCGAGAGAAGAGAATGCAACCTTTAGCTGACTGAGAATTTTCTGTGAATTTCAAGCCACGTGCTGCACTACAATATTTCGCTCGTGTGATCTCTGGAGCCTCGACTACTAAATAGCTGCGTTTTCTGACCATGCTCAAAAAGTGTTGCAAAACCAACTATAAAAATTATTCCTGGTGCTTTATGTCCTAAAACCAAATATGGTTTGCTTTGGTTTACAGTAGTTCTTGTCCCAAAGCAACTCAGGTGATGACAGAGACCCTAGTGGAGGGCTCCTGAAAATTTCAAACACACTGGGAAGTTATTCAATGTGCACTGACATGGCATGGTGCACTGGCCTCTAGTATTCTGCCTCCGTCAAAATGAGAGTGCCGCAACCGAGACATAAGCCGCAGCTTTGAAAACATAATATGCTTATAAGGCATGCCGTAGCAGAAAACCAATTCACATAAAAAGACAACGCATGGCCTCAAGTAAATTTCCATCACCGATGCAGAGGTGCAACAGCCGAAATAGAATTTGTATAAATTTTCAAAGCAGCATAATCTTACTTTTGGAGCACTAAACTCCAAATTTAGAGCACATTATAGGAAATAAAACGTCTATTTTTATCACGAAAGACCGAATTTGAAGAAAAGAAGGCTTACATCTAGAAAAAAAGTATAGTCAACTGCCGATTTTTCGGACACTTAGAATCAATGTATAAGAAGTCTGAAATTTCAGATGCTCGAACCCCCCAGAGTCCAATTTTCCGGACTTTCTGACGCGATGGAAGGTCGGAAACCACCACTGACCTCTAGTGGAAACCACCACAACTGCGTCCCACGCAATTACGATCGCATAAATGAGCGCGCCGGTCTACTGTGGCGGCATCTGTTGCTTGGACTCGATCGTTAGCGGAGAAACACACACGGCCTCCGAGATTCGTAACAATGGTCGTGTTTATCATGCAAGGGTGCTTCGCTGACAATCGAAACTATCCACCCGGAAATTTTTTGGCGCCAATAAATTTCCTTGCACTTTAGCGTTTATGCTCGTGCGTGCCACTCTGGCTTCCCGCGCAGCGCTTCCACGAAGCGTTTCACCACTTCGAACTAGAACTAACCGTCACACACCGATTTGGTCTGGCCACGCTGGATATCTTGAATGTTTACCAGCGCCACCTCCGGAGTACCCGAGGCACCGTCGCCTGCCATCGCGCCGTTTTGTTTACGCAGCCCACATAGTGTTTGGCTAGCCTAATGCGTGGTTGTGCGATCGTGTGAAGTGTGCTCTGCAACACTAAGCCTAGGTGCTTCGGCGCTCATCAGCAAACTCCTTTGTTCACATTGTGAGGATTTCGCTTGCCTGTGATGGCCCCCACTCCGCCATCGTCGTCCTCGTCGATGGCATCGAAGCGCGGAAAACAGTACCGTCGATTAACGATGGAGAAGAAAGCCGCCATTATTAAGTTAGTGAAGAGTGGCCGATCGCAGGCTGACGTGAGCAAGGAGTTTGGCATTTCCAAGCAAACAGTTTCCAATTTCCTGAGGAACAAAGACAAGATCTAGGAAGCGACCAAAAAACCATCTGGTGTCCAAAAGATGAATGCAAGCCAAGGTGTTCATCCACAGCTTGAGGACGCTCTCGCGTGTGGCTTAATTCAATGATTGCCAAGCGATTGCCCGTCTCGGGCTGCATCTTGAAACAAAAAGCGGAAACTCTCGCGCTTCGAATGGACATCACGGATTTTTAAGTTCAGTGATGAATGGCTGAGAAACTTTAAGCACAGGAATGACCTCAAGTTCAAGAAGATGTGTGGCGAAAGCGGCGCTGTTGACAGTGCAGTTATTGTGCAGTACCGCAGTGGAAAACTCCAGTCTTTGTTGCAGCAGTTCTCTGCTGACAACATTTTCAACTGCGACGAAACTGGCTTGTTTTACAAGCTGCTGCCGGAAAGAACACTCGCTTTAGCTGTTGACGCATGCCATGGTGGCAAGCATAGCAAAGAACGGCTGACTGTTCTTGTGGTCAGCAACATGTCTGGCAGCGAGAAACTTCCTTTGCTAGTAATCGGGAAGTCCAAGAGCCCGAGATGTTTTAAAGGGGCAACGCTGCCAGTGTTATACAAAGCCAACAAAAAGGCATGGGTAATGCAGCAGTTGTTCGAGAGTTACGTCCGCAGGTTGGACAGGAAGTTTGAACAACAGAACAGACGTGTTCTGCTCTTCGTTATCGACAACTGCCCTGCTCATGGTCACATCAATAACTTGAAGGCTATCCAGTTGGAATTCAAGCCACCCAACACGACTGCAATCCTCCAACCAATGGACCAAGGCGTTATCCGTAATCTGAAACTTTTTTACCGTTCACGTATACTCAACCGCATGGTGCTGTGCTCGGAAAATGGAAACGGCTACAGCGTTGACCTTCGGTCTGCTGTCGGAATGCCTGCAGACGCATGGAAGGCAGTAACGCAAGACACGCTTCGCAACTGCTTTCGCCACGCGAGCTTCATACTCGACACAGAGGAAGCAGACTTGCCTGGAGAAAGCGACAGAGTGACCGACTTGTACCCTCTCATGAACGATATTATCAACAACCTCCACTCTGCAGGTGCTTCCATGCCCACGGAAATAACTTTTGAGCGGTTCGTCGACGGTGACAACAAGCTCGACTTCTGCGCAGAGCTAACCGACGACGAAATAGTCAGTCAGGTTATGACGGATTCAGACGACTCCGATGTCGAAAAAGCCTGCGCCACCAACACCTGCGCCACCTACGACTGCCGAATTGATGCGAGCATTGATGACGCTGACATCGGTGTACAGTGATGACATGACCCTTGCTCAGATTGAGGCGAATGTGATCACATGCAAGCGGAACGCTGTTCAAACAAGGATCAACAAGTTTTTCAAGCCACTGCAGCTCTAACACCGGCTGCCCTGACGGCACCCGCTGTCGGCTGCATGCATTTTTTTCTAACGACTCTTTTCAGAGCCACCCCACTAATGCTTTGGCAGAGTTCCGGAGGTCTGGTACTTCGATCTTGACCCTCTTGATCCGAGAAATATCAATGAAATGGTGCGTTTTTTTTTTTTTTGCTTGCATTAAAAATTATGAGTAAAATAATGCGTTTTCTTTTTCTTTGCATTCATTTTTTTGGACTGCCCGAATTTTCGGACGGTTTCTCGCTCCCTAGAGGGTCCGAAAAATCGCCAGTAGACTATATGTTGAAGCCATTCAACATCACCTAAATCATGCAGAGTAAACATGAGCACTGCTGTTTTAATAAAACTAGTATTTCGATCTACCCTACTGAGAAAACAATAATAAAGTCCACATTAGCACTTGCCTCGTCTGTCAAATCCTTTGACAGAATTCGTGAATTAAAATGTGGATCTGCGAAGCTGGGGATTTTGAAATTCAAGGGATTCATGAAACTGAGTAGTATGGGTGGTGAAAAAAAAAAAAACTACCGCATTTCTTTTTTTAAAGGTGGCAGAAGTGTCATACACTGCTCCAAATGATTGCCAGTAACTTTTTCAGACGTCAGTGATCAATCCCATTTAACAAAACTCTGTTGAATAAATAAGTCGGATAAACGAAACTATCTAGACACATTTGGTTGGTCTCATTTATACTTAATAATAAAACTTTTGGGTAATCGGAACATTTTTTCTGCTTACATCAGTTAAATGAAACAAACGGGAAAAATGCATGAACGGCAGAAGTGGCCATGGCAGTCTTGCAACCATGAAACATATACCGAAGCTAGCCTAGTCAAGTCAATCTAGCAATCGCAAATGTCCGGGCACGCCAAGCAGCGATGGACGTCTTGTCGTGAACTTGAAATGGAACCAAAAAAACGACAGTACAATGCACTTTCGCTCACAACAAAAGTAAAAATCGTTCAAGAACTTGACCACAACGACCTATCAAAGACGGAAATCGCGAGGAAGTAAGTTCAATATCCTCAAGTCTATGCTCTCGAGGATACTCGAGAACAAAGGGTAGATTGAAGATGCTGCAAAGCTTGGGAACTTCGCCACGGACAGAATGCGGATGAGAACAACGGAATACAAAGAAATTGAGGATGTTCTTTTCCTCTGGTTCAAGCGGGCGCGCAGTGCGAACTTCCAATCAGCGGCCCCATTTTGGAAGAGAAGGCCAAAGAAATTGCTATTTGGATGGCGATCAAAGACTTCCGGGTGAGCGATGGCTGGCTAAGCCATTTTAAAAAATGGCATGGTCTTGTCTTAAAGATAGTTTCTGGAGAAAGTGCGGCTGCAAATAGAGATATCTGTAGTCACTGGCAACAGGGGAGGTTGCAAGAAATTTTGGAAGCCTACGATCAACGGGACGTGTTTAATGTTGATAAAATGGGGTTGTTTTACAAAGCACTTCCTACAAAAACTTTTGCTTACAAGGGGGAAACCTGTGCAGGAGGAAAGCGAAGCAAAGATCGTATTATGGTGCTAGTAGGTGCCAATATGGACTGTAGCAAAAAGTTGATGGTAGTCATGGGGAAATCAAAGCACCCACGCTGCTTCAAAGGTGTGCGCACGCTGCCTGTCACGTACCACGCGAATGGGAAAGCTTGGATGAGACAAGCAATTTTCGAGACATGGTTGCCCGAAGAGGATAGAAGATTTGCCCAGTAGAACAGGAAGGTTATGAAGGTTATTTTTATTGTTGATCAATGCCCTGCTCATGGTCAAATCCATAGACTCAAATCAATCAGCCTAGAATTCCTGCCACCAAATGCCACAGCAATCATTCAACCGATCGACCAGGGCATAATTCAAAACTTGAAGGTCCTCTACCGCCACCAAGTCCTCCAGCAAATGCTTCTTTGTGCAGACAACAAAAAATATTTTAATATGGACTTGCTTTCAGCTCTTCACATTCTAACCAATGATTAGGCACGCATGAAAATGTCAACTGTGCAAAGGTGCATCCACCATGCAGGATTCTCAAAATAAGAAGTCCTTCAAGATGACGAAGACAACATTGCCGAGGCTGAGGAGGCTGTTATTCTTTTCAGTCACGTGACACAGTCTAATTCTGTCACGCGAGTGGACTATGAAACACTTGATGCAAACATCACCACATGCCGCAAGGACTCGTGGTCAAGGGGTGATGAGATGGTGTGTGATCCCGAGCCCATTGCAGTGGAAGACAGTGCAGCAAGAAATGGTGTCATCTTGTTGCAGCGCTACTTTGAATACAATGGTGGCACAGACTTCCTGCCCAGCCTTTCGGTGATGCACTCTTACTTTGTGAAAGAATGCTTGAACAAAGCCAAGCAAATAGTTATTACGTATTTCCAAGTCAGTAATATTAGCAACATTTTTCTTTCTAATCAACTATAGTAGTATTGTATACTTCAAAACGTTTTTGTTCAGTCAGCCACAGTTAGTGCTAATGTTGTATTTCATTCATTTTGTGGGCTTTGCTTAAATGGAACGTCTCATAAATGGAACAAATTTTCTTGCCCCTTTGATTTCCATTTAAGAGGAGTCCACTGTAGTGCTCACAATTATTTGATAGTATGTGAACGAAAGAGTAAGTGAACGAAATTAGCTGTCCCGTGAGTAATGCTAACAGCTCCTTCCAAATCATATCACATTTTTTCGCAAAACACCAGTGTATTGCGGCGAAGGTGATTTAAGCAGCGTTCTGCCCGGGTTAGAACAAGGCCAATACATGTTCGAACACCACTACGCACCCCCCCCCCCCCCTCTCTCTCTCTTTTTTGAGAATGCGGGTTAGGTTTAGGGCACAGCATCTCTGCTCACTTGCAAGGCGCGTTCTACCAGATGAAGTAACAGCGGCGCACGCCCGTTGGTCCGGCAACAGCACCGAATATTTGTCGCCGGGATGATGCAACTAACGAAACTTCAAAACAGAAAAATAGTTTTTGTGCTGTTTGTACGGTGACCAACGTGGTCGCCGGCAATGCTGGCGTTCGCAGCACGTCGACATTGTTTGTGTGCGGAAAATGTCGTATGCGCTCGCAGCTCTACTTACTAACCTGCCATAGCCGCTTTTACCAACCCGAAAGTTTACATTTCCTGCAAAGCGTTCGTGGCTACAGCCACGCAGTTTTGTTTTGAAGTTGCGTCGTCCCGCCAATAGATATTTGTTGTGATCAGCAGACCGATGAACACACGGCTTTGTTATTTTATCTGGTCGATGGCGTCTCGCGAGATGCCCTAACTTAATGGGATGAGGGTTAGAGTGGTTAGGTAACTGTGGGTTAAGGTTAGAGTCTGTGGGCTTGGATTGATTGATGACTCAAACTACAAATGAGCAACATACGTGGCCTCCATTTCTCACTGAAATTAGCACAACTGAGAAAATTTTGACGCTGTTCGGACATTTTGGCACAGCATGGCACAATTTCAGCAAATATAGTTTTGGCACAGCTCGGTGCAAAAATGTAGAATTGAATCAAATTGGCACAATTGGCTCAGCTATTGCACCCCTGTCAATGTTTCTCAACATGCGCCTAGGGCTCAGTAAAAAAGTGTCTTGTATTTAATTCCCATCCGAATGCTCAACAACAGCAGGAAATGTTCAAGGTGAAGAAAATTAATACAGTAAGCTTGATTAGTAACTTCCTTACCAATTGGTTAGTTTATTAAAAGCAACAAAAGCCAAGAAAGTAAAAACCCTACACTAATTTTCATAGCATTCTCTCAGCACTGTTTTACAATCATTGAAAGTAAGGTTTAAAGGGTGTCAATTTGCACAAAAAAAAAAGGGGGGGGGGGACAGGGTGTATCAATATGATATGGCAGGAATGACTGAATAAAACGGAATTCGTGGGTTTTTTATGCACATTATCTGAAGCCTTGGCACATGGCACAACCCCAACTTTTGTGATTTACATTAAGTGCAATTTTTTACTTACAGCCAGCAACACAGATACCAGAATTTGTGAAACAGGCTGTTTAACTGTTTCACATTCAAGGAAGACACTGCTGCATGAAAGTAACATGAAAAAAAAATTTTTAACTCACATGCTTTGCAGCATAGTTGAAAGATGCAACAGTATTCTCCAGGACATTTTCAACCCTGGAGAAAAAAATAATAAAGAAGCAGAATAATGTAGCCTGTAGATCCATCAATGCTTAGAGAAAGAAACCTGCAGCAATGATCAGAACTAGGATAAAATCAAGTTGAAAGAGGTTCTTGATCAAGCCTGCAGATGTTGCTGCAGTTTTCTTAAAGTTTTCTTGTCACCACTAACATGGTGACCTCTCATGACAGCTGTTAGGTTCTCAAAAGGCTATTCCAGACCGTTATTAAGAACTAGGAAAAGGAGCTGAATTCTCATGCAAGCAAATAGTTTGCACTGAACAGTAGACCACAGTCACCAGTTCACAGAAAAAGCAAAAATCACATTTGTCCCTCAACATTTGTAGTGCCCGGCCTGCAGCTCATACAGTACCAGCACTGCACCAAATTTTTAACCTAATTATAATACAACATGTTTATCAGCAATTATAATATAACAATGTACCACTGGTACCAAACCAAATTAGTCGACTCAGGCAGCGAAGAATCTGGCACCATTGGTCAAAGGTGTAAGCTACATTTGGTTTTGCTAAAGCCCTATTCAAACTGCGCACCACACAGTGGCCATCAAAGTGGAACAGTGTCTTTTCTGGCAGTATATGGAAGTAGGCAAGGTCGCACCACGTGTCCAGAGCCTTGCTGCCAGAGTAGCAGAGGAGAGCATGAGAGCATCCAAATGTACCCTGTCGCTGGTATTGGACAGTCTACAAAAAAGCATGTAGTTGTGCATTCTTGACTATAGGTCAGCAAAAAAATTGGAGCTCACTCTGACCCACCTAAGAAATATATTTTGCTCTGAGGGCTCACTTGGACTCGGATGCACCAAAAGTTTTCTCAACCGGACTCGCTAGCATTTATAGTCATAAAATTTTCTCATCTTTCTCAACCAGACACTCAAACTTGCAAACATGGTACTCAGCTAGACTTGCTCAGACACATGGCTTGACCCGAGTCTGAATAAGCCTCAGTGGGTCTACTCACGAGTTCGTTATCAAAAAATTTGTTTTCTTGATCATGCTGTCAATGCTCTTAAAGGGACACTTAAACACTTAAAAAAAAAATGAGGTTATAATGCTCTGATGCATAACTTCATGCAGCAAACTCGAAAATCAAGTTAAAAATTTTCATAGACTAATGTGAATAACTTTATTTTTCTATAAGCAAGCAACAGGCGCCGCGGCCGCCATCACAAGTCCCGCCCTCGCTGTGATTGGTCGAAGCTCCATGACATTATTGACAGGAAGGTGAGGACAGCTGACTGCACTCGCCGGCAGGCGATGCCAGGTTTATCTGTTGAAATCGGCTAGTTGCTGTAGTATGGTGAACTGTAGAAGTTGTAACGTGTTTGCTTTACATCTGTACATGTTCAACCCGGTTGCCATTATAATAGCAACGACCTAAGATGATGCCAGCGCCGATTACACGGCACAGGAAAGCGAGTCCCAACCAGCCACCTTCACCCGCATTGAAAAATAGACTGGTACGTATAAGATGCATGTCAGTGCTTAATTTCACGGTAGTAAACTGATACAAATGACACGTTTAACTGTAGATATGAAATCCGGTAACGAACAGCAGCATCGGCCCTCACTTTTAGCCGCTTATTGGCACAGTCCACACTACGCACAGGCATTGAGCAGGGAAATTCACGAACAGCTGATTTTTTTGCACTAAGAGCAGCGTTGTTGATGCAGTCAGTATTGCTTTTTCTAAACTCCGCCAGTACTACAGTGATGGTGTGTTAAAATGCAAGCGGTATATTAGTTGCGTTAGAAGCATGCGACCGTCGTGTAGAGTGCCAGATTTCAATGCTGTGTACTGGTATTTGTTTACACGTGTGTTCACCACAGGTTCTCATGTACGCACCGCATCCAAATGGGGAAAGAGGAGGATACACACTAAACAAGATGTGCCTGAACATTCGTGCTGGGATACTATTTTGCAGTCCTACTTTTTTTTTTTCTGTGCAGTGCAAAAAAATTGCCCGCAGCTTCCCTCGGGGGAACACTGAGGAGGATGCGGAGCATATAATTGGTTAACGGGGTGTTAAAGTGCGACTTACTTGGGTCGATGGCTAAATTGGTTAACGTGGTTGTAGGAGGGGGTGTTAAATGAGTGAACACGTACACACGTATGCGAAAGGGCGGCGCTGGTCGAAGGGACGTCGATCATTGTGTTTGTGGATTCGTTGGAATTCATTTCACCGCGACCTTGGACGTCGACGCGCCGTACAAACCAACCGACGAGCGGCAACTGAGCGAGCGAGTGCCGACCTTGAGTATATATACAGCTCGACGGCGCATGCACTGTCAGCTGTTGAATGTTCTCGAAGCGCGACGCCACATGCGCGTCCACTGGAGAATCAGGAGAATTGTAGATGTCGAACGCGGTGTGTAGAGGAGGAAGGGTGCACAGATGGTGGAGGAGTGAAGCGCGCGCGGTGTGTAGAGGAGGAAGGGATGCACAGATGGTGGAAGAGTGGGCGACGGCGCGACGGCGCATGCGCGCGCGTCAGCTATCGAATGTTCGAGAAGCGGTGCGGACGGCGCGGACGGCGCACTACAAGGCGCGAGTATAAGATGCTTCCGCATCTAAAAAATATCATCACCATTTCAATATACAAATATGTAGCAGGTCTGCATAAATCAATCTCAGCCCTATGTAGGACTACTGCCATAACGAGCAACATTCAGCACAGTGCAGATTGTAAGCAGAACAATGTTGTAAAGGCCTAGCTTCTGAACAAAAAAGCTAGGGGCATGCTTGCTTACAATATGCGCAGTCGCAAGTATGCCCTGTTACCAAATCTGTCCCACACGCAATGATCGAACTTGAGAAAGCCTTTATTTAGATCAAGCGCTGATACACGGACAGCTTGTACTATGATTATGCTTCGTGTGGTGGCATTTGGCAGGGATCGAATGTTACGGTAGTGATTGAATATTGTCTGGATCATCGTATGTGTGATTGTTACATCAATGCACTGACGATTCGGGATTTCGATAGAAAAATATTAGCCGAGCTGGAATCAAAATAAGCCGCCCGTGTTAACCTTCGATTTTTCTTCAAGGCTGTGAATTTCGTTATCTAGGGTCCCCTGATATGACTGGCTCTTGATAAGGTAGGCCGTTCGGCACATGCATGTCTGATTTTGCTGATGTTGCGTGGTTATACGCAGATTCTGTTTTCCTATATATTGCAGTTGGATTGCAATAAACTTTGGTTGTTAGTTCAGCGCTCTGTTCTCGTCTCTCCTATCCCCTCCCGTCGTTTGAGCTGTTAAGCACTTTTTTCGTCTACCAGTGTCTGCGTAATGGCTCGCGATCTGCGCGTTCCTTAGAGATTCAAAGTGAGCATCACAGAAGCAAGGCAGCACAGTGAGCTGATCACAGCTCCGGTAAGCGCGTGCTCACGAACTACGATAAAAGCTCATTAACCCGGATCCCACGGGACCGGTGAAGATGTCCGAGTTAACCGAATTCCAGATTATCAAATAAACCATTAAAACAAAAGGAAAAAGTACTCGGCGCAAACAAACCCTCATTTCATGAAAAACTGCGTCAACTTTGTCTTGTCATCGGAATTAGTGCTAGAACGATCTTCTTCAACCCCATGTCGTGGTGGTGTGCACGCTCGGCGAGAACTGACACACGAACTCCGCGAGGACAGCAAGAGCTTCGGCGGCCTCTGGCATGGTGCAATGTCGCGTCGGCTCATCTTAATGTCATCATCGGAACAGTCAGCTTCATCGATTTACCAAGTCCCAGACTACTCGTCGGCGGCCCGCGGACGCCCCGGCCAGCCTTTGACCATAAGCCGCTTCGTCACATGCAGGTGATTCCAAAGTCTCGAGCCAGCCCGAGCGGCCTCGGGTCATCTGCGCGATTGATGCTCTCTGGATCCGCTGTGGCATCTGCTATGCCATCTGCTGTCTATGACTGTGATCAATGTTACTAGATACCTATTTGCATTGTGATGCAACTTACTGCAAGTGAACTACCCAAGTGCACACACATCATAGAGTCGCGCGGTCGTTCCACCGCTGTTTCTCCTAGCGAGTATAATGCGTGTTTGCCCGACCTTCAGGAATACCCACATGCTCAACGTGGCTCAAAACACCGATGACAAAAACTGGGTGCGCAAACAATGCGAAATCCAGAAACATGCAAGAAGCGGGCAGAAAAGCAGAGAGCAAGAGCATGTTCAAAATTTTCCATGTCTAACTTAAAATGGCCGCACAGGCATGAGCAGCACACTGTCGTCTGCCAGCTGCCCAAAAGAAATGATTTTGACAGTCCCGGGCAGCCCGCAGGCCATGCATCCGAGTGATCCCGGACCAGTGGTCAGAGCCTCCGCCCACTGGTTCATGCAAAACTAATGCGACGAGTAATTCTCATCTTCTTCAAGCTCTTCCAATAATGTCATCATCAGTCAGAAATCCAGCAACGGCCACACCATCATCAACGTGCACAAATAGAGCCCGAGAACATAACGACGGTTTCTATGTCAAAGTGCTAACTCGCCGAACAGTCAACTTTTTTGATGTACCCGAGCTGCACACACTATTCGCGAAGTCGCAATGCAAAGAAGTCAGCAGCGTAGGTGTTGCGGGAAACTGGGGTAGCAACGGCTGCGCAAACTGTCCTGTCATCCGCGCATGCCGACAATGAATGCACCGGTAGCCTAAGCTCTTCCGCCGGGTGTGACTAGCGCCTCCTGGCCACTTCCCCCTTATTCACTATCATTATGACCATATTCTGCTGCTGTTCGTTCGGTTTCGGTTTCTCCAAAATTACGGTTCCGCCGACGGTTACGGCGGCAGAGCTGGGACTCCATGCTTTCAGTAACCGGAATTGGTTACTGAAAGCATGAAGCCCCGATAGCCCTCTCTGGAATTGTCCAAGTTAACCGGTGTGCGTCTAAATCCCTCCGAATTAACGAGCATTTTACACCATTAAAATATACGCAGTTTCGCCTGGACTGCACTGCAAGTCCAA